AGGGCCGGTGTGGGTGCAGGTTTTCGTTGCGACCAAGCAGAAGCCACACCTGAGTCTATTGAATGCCAAGATCAACTGATTAAACATGAAAACCTGCACCCACACCGGCCCTTTCCGGATAAGATCGCCCACCTCTGTTCTACACAATTGCATGCTTCCGACTTTGTGTCAACAATTTGGGGAAGAACCGCATGCGGTGATTGTAGTGCAATACATGCCCACGATTCAGCCTCCAAAAACATGTTTTGTTGTATTTGACCATCATTTGACACTGATTATTTTCATTGTTTTTTTTTTTTGTAGCTTTATTTGGGTGTGCTTCTTGACTGTAGGCCAGCAAACTCGCTGTGTCTTGTGACGAATAGAAATTCAATAAGGAGTACAAGTGATAACGAAGTAACAAACTAAGCTATGCAGGGGTTTTTGTGTGTGTGTGTGTGTGTGTGTGTGTGTGTGTCAAAGTGAATCAGTTTGCACAGTTTGAGTTTAATGTTACTAATCATGCTCATCACTAGTCGCAACCACAGCTCCACTGACCAGGGTGTAGAGTGCTTATTTCAGATTACCGTAATTTCCGGACTATAAGCCGCTAATTTTTAGTTGTTAAAACGTTGTTGCTGCACGGTCTTTTTCTTTCTTTTTTTTCCCAACAGTATGTTTTTAATTTAAATTCGAATGCGCATTTTTATCTTCAATTCGACGAGCGCTCAAAGTTCGAATTTGAATTAGACAGCCCGAGAGCGGACGAGAGGACAGAAGCAGCAGGAAAGGCGCACCTTCTGACCAATCAGGTTTAAGAATTCGACAATACTGTGATATAAAGTGCAGTTTAACGATTACAAAGAAAGTATGTGTTTCACAATTGTATATTCATAGCATACTAATACTAATGTGTACAGTTTGACCATGTGGGATTTTCTTTTTATTATTATTATTACTATTATTATTATTATTATTATTATTATTAGCCACTTGTGAGGACTATAAACTTCTGGAGAATATGAACAAGCTCACCAGCCTGAAGTACATGGAGATGAAGGACATTTCGATCAACATCAGCCGTAACTTGCAAGACCTCAATCAGAAATGTGAGTCCTCTGATTCATGATGCTTTTCTCCCTTAACCACGTTTCACAACACTATATTCTATTATATTATTTGACTTTTGTTGTTGTTGTTTTTTGGTTTGTTTGTTTTGTTTTTGTAGATGCGAGCTTGCAGCCATACCTAGACCAGATAAACCAGATTGAGGAACAGGTCACCGCTCTGGAGCAGGCTGCGTATAAACTGGACACATACTCCAAAAAACTGGGTGAGTTCGACCTACTGCGAGTATTTACATGGAGGATCATGTCCTATGTGCGTATGAGGAAAAAGGGTGTATAAAATGTTACCACTAGGTGGTGCAGTGAGGGCAGATTTGCACTCTGGATAAGAATGAGCTCAGGAACTGTTCACCTGGTGTGATCCGATCACAAGTGGACAGAGCTAAGTACAGGTCTGAACAGGGTCGAGTGCATTTCGGAGACGCGCTGTGATCGATCTCAAACGTTCGGAGGTGGTCTGGGAGTCGTGTGGAAACATCACATGTTTAGTGCAAGCAACAAATGACCAACTAATCAACGGCGTCATTGCCGAAGCGAGAAAATACGCAATCATCACAAGACTGTTCAGAAATCACACTGAACGTATATCAGTGCATACAGGATTTCACAGATTTTCCAAATTTGAGACTCAACTTGCCGCGTTTTTTTTGTTGTTTTTTTTTGCATAAATCTACCTTAATTTTCAGACTATTGAGTGCACCTGAATATAAGTCGCACCCACTAATTTAAAAAGAAATTTTTTTTTGTACATCTATAAGCCGCAGGTGGCCACGTTGTAACATGAGATATTGACACAGAAAGATTTTTTTTCACTTTTAATTAAATACGTACCGTAAATGCTTTTTTTCCGAACAGTGCCTGTAACACGGCTGGTAAAAAAAAATAAAAAATACAGTTGCCTACCAGGAAATGTCACTGTCGCCATCTTCATCTTCCTCATGCGCACTAAAACCACTAAAGTCGTCGTCTTCAGTGTCGGAATTGAACAGCCTCAGAATTACCGGTACTTTGTCACACACTTCCTCAGTCTCTCTTCTTCTCTTCTGTCGTCTTTTTGCATTGAGTCAGTTCTTCACGCTGCCATCTCTGACGTCTCACCATCGAGTCATTGATGCCAAGCTTACATGCAGAAGCTCTATTTCCTTCTTCGACAGCCAGATCGATTGCCTTTAACTTGAAAGCGGCATCATATGCATTTCTTTTTAGTGTGAGTGCGTTTGATTTAATTCGAGCAGTTTCATTGGTCCACTGTGACCTGTTTGGTAATTTCATTGGTCCGATGTGACGAGGCTAAGTGTTTTGTCGGTGTTACAAAACGGGACTGGAGGCGGATGCAGGTGCAGATCGAAGTCTTTATTAAACACGTAACTCAATAAACAAAGAAAACTCGGTCTTCACCGGAAAACGAGAAACTGAAATCGTGCCATAAAACGAGATCATGAATCAAGGCATGGAAACAAACGATCCAAACAACATCACCTATCTAACCTTTACCAACTATAATACTGAGCGAAGTGCTCTGTAACCGAGGGGTTTCAATAGTAAACATAATCAGACCAAACCATGGACACCTGGGGCACATTAAAGACACTTAAACTAAATGCTCAAGCAGGAAGCGAGCGAACCTAGACAGTCACGTGACCAGTCAGGAGCCGTGGCACAGTGCGCTCTGCTGGCCGTGGTGTAACAGGCGGCATGAAGCTCATTAGCCTGTAAAAATCCATATATTAGCCGCATCATTGTTTAAGCTGCAGTGTTCAAAGTGTGTGAAAGAAGTAGCGGCTTATAGTCCAGAATTTACGGTACTCAATCTGGCGAAGTTTCAGTTCCACAGAATGGTCTTTCGCTGTGATGTTTGTTGGTAAATGAGACCTTTTATCTGTACTCATGTTCGACACAGATGAATCGAAGAGGGCTTTGAATGAATGAGTGTTGTGATTATGCCACATGACGTGTCTTGGCTCAAATCTGCTGCAATTTAAAAAAAATCGCAAGCTTCATTTTGCGTTAATTCCTGCGATTGCAAAATGGCGCAATCCTGGAGGGACACCCATATCATACTGCCAGGTCTCGTGGCTGAAACCACAGCAACGCTTTTTTTTTTTTTTGTTTTTTTTTTTTTTTTTTTTGTAGCTTCTTTTGTCGTCTCGTCTGACATTCATTTAAACGTTTATTACGAGACCACAGGAAAGAAGCTGTTGAAACATGTTCAAACGTACATCAAATAGGATTTGCAGGACGTTTCTGCCTGGAAAAGAATGCCTCGGATGGCCGTAGTGATAAACGTGCACGACGGTTTTCCTCGTTGCGGAAATGACGTATGAAATCCAGACACAAGTGGACACCAGAGACTCATTCGTAATGCCAGATGTGAACAGCTATCTGTCTCAGATGTCCACTTGTGATTACTCGTGACAGATGTTAATTCCCGGTGTGAACAGGGCCTCAGACTGCATGTGGACTGATGCCCTTACCCCCCACCACCGATGAGACCCATGCAATACAGTGCTTTTGTTTATGACTTTGCGACGTGCTTTCGTTCTCGGCTACTAAAGAGGTTTCAAGTTCGGACGAATAGAATCTCAATATACTCGTCTTGTTGTTTTTTCAGAGGCCAAGTTTAAGAAACTGGAGAAGCGCTGAGACGTGTGTTTGGAAAGATGGAGGCCCAGTTAAAGCTTCGGTTCAGATCAGCCCTTCTTGCTTCAGGAGTCTCCCCGGATCCTGCCGTGCTGTTGCTTCAAGTATTAGTTGGTCTCCAATAGGATCCAGAAACACACCTTCAGGTTTTTTGGATACACACAGTTTTATGATTAGTTCCTGATTTTGCTCAGATGGACTCCAAGTCCAGAAAAGACTCCAAGAAGCCTGTGCACTGGTTCACATAAGCATGGACATTGTGGACTTTAGTTTAGTGTTTGATGTGAGTCCTGTATCAAATAATCTTTCGGCTGATGTACTGAAGGAAACGTGCTGCGTTGTGTGTGTGTGTGTGTGTGTGTGTGTGTGTGTGTGTGTGAGAACCCGACTGAACTGTGTGATGACAAATCATGAATAAGGGTGAGATAATTGATACTAGTGGGCTAGAAAATGTGACCGAAATGTCCCTTGTATCTGATTTTCTATTTAATATTGTACTAAGTTCCCTTATATCTATAAGGTAATACATTGGATGACCATAAATGCAAACATTTCTGTAAAGTTTTTTTTCCTCTCTTTTTATATAAACATTCTATAATGGTGGTTGTCAAGGTATATAAAAATGTACTGGAAGATGCTGAGCGGTTATTATAAAGACAATACCTGAACCTGAAGTTATGCATTTCTAATGTTATTTATTTTTTTTCCTCGGGTTATAGTCTGTCATACATTGAGTGGATTTTCTTTAGCATACTCTAACCCCTTTTGATCATTAGTATATATTTCAGATGTTGTAATATATCCACAAATAACACATTTGGCTGTGTTAGTCCCTCAGCAATTCTCAGTGCTAATTGTTTCGGACGTTCCACCCCACCACCAGGGGGCACACCGAGACCACGCTGCTTTCTTGATCGATCTCAGCCTTTCACCTCGTTCTGTCTGGTAGCTGCTCTCTACGTTTCAGAGCCGTGTATGGTGAGGTGCTCGTCTACCGCTGAGATTCTCGGCTGAATGGCGTGTTAAAGAGCTAATCCTCTGCTTCGCAAAAACCTTTCAGTTGAATTTGGGGAAATCACCTGAAGCATACGTTGATTCTATTTCAATTGCTTTTGTTTGATTTGTTCACTGCAAACAGCTGAAAGTCTGTCAATTTTGACAATAAACCTAATTTGCAATGGGGTTCGAATCATTTGATTGCAACTGTACATCTGGGCTGCTGAGGGTGAAGGGCCTTGCTCAAGGGCCCAACAGTTGTAGCGCTGAGGTTTGAACTCGTGACCTTCTAATCAGTAATCTGACGTCTTAACCGCTGAACTACCCTATTATAACAAACGAGTCCAATAATTAGTTAATGTAGTTAATTTACTTGAATGTGCCTTACTAAGATGTCTAATTACCTTTTAATACTTAGTTTTATCTTTAACACTGATGTGCAAGCAGGTGCCAACTCTCTGCTGTGAGCAGTAGGGTCAAGGGAATTCAGGAAGCCACCAACAAGAGCTAAAACAGAAAATACTGGAAGTCCAAAAACTTCACCATATAAACCCCATGTTGCATTTTTTTTGTAGGGATCCCCGATGTGCTGCGCATGGTTTTACATGTAGATGAAATTAATCGGAAGCTCTTTGCTTGCACAAGTTGATCCATCCATCAATCCATCCATCCATCTTCTACTACTTACTCCTTTTCAGGGTCGCGGGGGAACCTGGAGCCTATCCTAGGGAGCATTGGGCACAAGGCGGGGTACGACCCTGGACAGGGTGCCAGTCCATCACAGGGCACAATCACACACACACACACACACACACACACTTCATACACTAGGGACACTTCAGACACGCCGATCAGCCTACCGTGCATGTCTTTGGACTGGGGGAGGAAACCGGAGAACCCGGAGGAAACCCCCGCAGCACGGGGAGATCATGATAACTCCGTGCACACAGGAACCCGGACCCTGGAAGTATGAGCTGAACGTGCTAACCACTAAGCCACTGTGCGCCCCCGCACAAGTTGATACGACACCAAATTTAACACACCTGCTCCCCATTCACACCTGAGACCTTCTAACACTAACAAGTCACATGACACCGGGGAGGGAAAATGGCTAATTGGGCCCAATTTGGACATTTACACTTAGGGGTGTACTCACTTTTGTTTTCAGTGGTTTAGACATTAATGGCTGTGTGTTGAGTTATTTTGAGGGGAAGCAAATTTACACTGTTACACAAGCTGTACACTCACTACTTTACATTGTAGCAAAGTGTCATTTCTTCAGTGCTGTCACATGAAAAGGTATAATCAAATATTTACAAAAATGTGAGGGGTGTACTCACTTTTTTGAGACACTGTATCTCTGGCCTACTATATGCATGTGTTTCTCCTACTATATAGAAGCTAAATACGCCGTTTCAGACCCAGCCGTGCTCTCTTGTTTGAAGTCAAACGGTTGAGCGCTGCCATGTGTGAACGTGTCCTGTCACAACATGCGGTGAAAACTCCCACACGATGATAATAGTGTGATTAAGGTGTATAAATGTCTGTAATGCACTTCCATAATGTGACTAAAACAGGAATACTCCACTTGTCTTAATTCCATTTGTGTTTGCTTCGAGAATAACTTTATTCGGATTAAGGTCATCCATAATCACTGTTTACATGCTAGTTTCTTAATCAGAATATCGTCTTAATTGGGTTAATATCAAATTATCGTTGTCCATGTAAATGTACTGAATACTAATTAGAATATTGACAAATTCTATATTATTATCAATGGAATATTGATGTGCATGTAAGCATAGTCAGTTATAATCCTGTGACTGAGGAGAAAGGTAGTGAGTTCATTGATTTTACATGACACTATTAGAGCTGATGTTGTATGACTGCGTGTTTGTGCAGTTCTTGCATTTACGTGCGAGGATCAGAGTCACGTGACAGGCCTGGGTTCCCCATTCACCAACACACCAATAAGCACTGAGTGCTCGAGATGTCACATGGAACATTTACTCTGAAATACTATTGTTAGAGCCACTGAGAGGCTATGAAAACTCAGTGTTGGGCAAGCAGCCATCTGTCTCGTACACAGTGACTGCTAAGAGATCCTAATTTAATATCTAACCACTTGTGCACTCTCTGTCGAGAAAGTTTTCCCAGTATTAAATCCACAGTGGATTTGCAGCATTTGGTAAGAAGGGCCCTTACAATAAAGTTCTCTTGAATTGTGCAAGAAATTGACCACAATTGTGGAGTTTATTTAGTGAGGAGAATGAAATTTGTAACCACACTAGACACATGGAGACGCATAGAAACACCAGGCATTGTTCAGCCCACACATAGGCCTATAGGTATTTCCAAACCCAGCCCACACACCCGCCTTAAATTTAATGGACTGAACATTCTCTTCAAACTGATCAAAACCGGCATGAGAACCTGATGAGAAAAACGGCTACCGTGTATGCGTGGTTGAATTAACATTACGTACGTGAGTGTATGTTGGAAAGGACATGCTGTGTGTTCCTATTAGTGTCCTTCTCTTCTCTTCTCCAATGATTTCTCCAGTCATGGCCTCCTCTTAAGTTTTGTCTTTGACCCAAGACACAGATCCTCTCTCATGCTTCTCTAAGCACCTAATAACATAAACACAAACTAAGCTAAGCCACACCCACGTGTGATCAGCAAAGGCAGTCTTTTTATATATATATATATATGAGAGAGAGCAGCAATAGCTATTAGGCTACATGCGCACTGTTGTAGGTTGCATACACATGAACCCATGTGTTCTCTGCCCAGGGGATAGAAGAGCATAGCTCTGAAACGAGTGTTTATGTCTGTGGTGAGAGGAATTACGGGAGAATTCCTTGGTTTCTTCTGGGAGCGCTTGACCCTGGTGGACCCCTAGAGACCAACAGTGTTGGGATAAATAAACATACATAAATTTGACTCCCTCATGGTAGCCGGTGGCCATATGTGTGTGTGTGTGTGTGTGTGTGTGTATGTGTGTATGTGCTGTGTATGTACTGAACATACTAAACACAGATAGCAACTGACATACACTTATGAATAGTATAAGTAACAAAAGTGTGTGTTTATGCATGTTAAGGAGGGACAGATACACAAGCATGGTGAATCAGCAGTCCTCGACTCATGGCTGAACACGACAGTTATTGTGGACATAATTATAAACATTAGGCATGCGTTTATCAGAGGCAATAATGTGTTTACACCAACTTCCTCTGTTGTTCATCACTAGATGCTTTATACAAAAATATTGCATCAAAAATTACGTAAATCATGGAAACTTCAACGATCAAGGGCTGCATGCATTATGACTTGTTTTAGGATGTGATTTTATTTGTCAAATTGGGCTTGGAGAGTTGAATGCATCTACCTATATGCATCTATGTATAAACTGCATTTACCCTGGCATAACACGTCCGAAATGTGTCTCAGACTTCAGACCTCGTCATGTGGTTTGAGTGACTGGACTTAAATCTGTGTCTTATGTGCATTTACTCTTCTATTTTTATGTAGATCCGTATCTAAAAAGGTGGAAAAGGTGAATGGTAACTGCTGTGAAACAATTCCAGGACCATCTCTTACTATCTTACTATTACAAAATACTAGCACATTTTTTCTACAGTGGGGAACTGGACATTTAGAAATGGAAAAAACAATCATGGTCTTTTTCCAAATCTTGAACTGTTTCGGTGAGTCCCCATGTGACCTCATGTGATCTACTGTTGTAGATCATCCACCCCAAGGCTCAGTGTGTTGTACGTTCTGATATACTTTTCTGCTCACCACATTTCTAAAGAGTGGTTATTTAGCTACTATAGGTTTCCAGTCAGCTCGAATCATCTTTTTCATCAACAAGGCACTTCTGCCCACAGAACTGCCGCCCCTGGATGTTTTTTGATTTTCTTACCATTAAGTTCTATAAACTGTAAGCTCTATAGACTGGTGCGTGTGAAAATCCCAGGAGTGTGAAAAAATCCCAGGAGTTCAGTAGTTTCAGAAACAGTCAAACCAGAGCACCAACATCCATGCAGTCAAAGTCACTGAGATCAGCGGTTGGGAACCTCTGCTCTATGATATTATATCCATGTTGAACTGTCTATTGGATAACATACAACAAACAGATGAGTTTCCTGTGCAGAAGGCGCGCTCTCCCTCAGACCTGAACCCTGAAGGCTGGATTATCAGAGAAGACGATCGGATGTTGAGGACTTCCAATACTTTTCTCTCTAACTAAAAGCAGCTGACCTGCACTCTGAAATCACCTCCAGGAACTTCTGAGAGCTTATGCCTGGGACCGGTGATTGGAGCAGTGACCCCCCCCCACCGAAACACACACAGATAAGTGCTGAAGCAGTGTGGCACCATTGTAGCCATCCAATTATAGTAGATGCTGGGGCTTTTCAACACTGGCCTGTTTCTGTTGATTTCCTGAGTGCGCGATGAGGCCCAAATGGCCTTTACCATAATCTACGCAGCTACCATAATTGCTTAGTGTAGCAATTAGCTGAGAGTGCTTCACAAAGCAAGATAATTACTCATCTGTTTACTGTACTCAACTTTTAAAACTCCCTTTCTCTATTCTTCACTTTCTTTGGTTGGCCCAGGCTCCAGTGCTTTACTAAGTCCACCAAAAAAATTGTTGCAATGTTTTGTTTTTTTTCCCCAAAATGAGGCCCTAAATATTTCTTTCTCCTTACACACTCCACACAAACCCCAGCTCACCACTGAATAAGTGATGCTTATGAATCAGTGATACACAAGGTAATAAGTACACCTGGGAATCTTAAAGTCCAATAATTTGAGCTACCACAATATTATCTAATGGTAATATTTGATAGTATTGTGAGATCTGAAGAAAAAGGCATTGAGTAAATCCCAAAATTAGAACCAAGCTGTGTGTGTGTGTGTGTGTGTGTGTGTATATCTTGCATACTTGAAACAATTGAAATCCCTGGGCATGGGGATGAGGACCAATCAGTGACATATATAGAAGCCTTTGCTTCTGAGGAACAGCTGGCTTCTCTGCTATTCACAGTTTCCCACTCCAATTGTGGAACTCCAGAGCTCGCTGTGTGACACAAGGGGAGTGTGTGGTAGCTGAATTAGCGCTAACAGGCGTACGCTCTGCCTGTAAATCTCTTCGAACAATGGCTGGCATGACAGAGGTGTCTGAGAGAGAGAAAGGCCTGTAACTCCCAGTAAACTGAAACCCTCTCTGTTTCTCTCTCCCTTTCTTCACCTCCAGCCTGAGCTTCTTTTACAATGGCTGTAAATCAGGGCTTCAGAGAGGTTCTGAGACAGGCATCTGAT